TATTCACATTTGTTTTAGCCAGGAGAACGAGCTTCGGCATAGAACCCCAAAAGTCAAACTCAGAAATGTCTCCGTGGATGTCTTATTTAAAATATTGAGAGATCAGCGCATTTTGCAAACCGAATTACGCTTTATTTCGAATTTTGAAGTGGAAATGCTTGACTAACCGGTTTAGAAGGCTTAAATGAAATCGAATATAACATGAGGCGATTGTAATTAGAAGAGTTAGCTTAAAAAAAGTTAAAACTTACATTTTTTCTAGGTAGAAAAATATACGCTCCATAACCTTTAGACAGAGACAGCACGTATACATGCCATTTATACATACAATTTTAATTTCACCGAAATATGATTTGAACTGTAGAAATTATTCATGCCAAAACTCGTCTTTTCCTGTGTCAGCGTTTGCAGTCTACATGAACAATATATTACAAAGGTTTAATATTCCAGGTTTTCAGGGTATCCTCCGTTTGTGTGATAATGTGTACTTTATTTAGCTCAGTGAATTCCCAGTAGCGGTTTATGTGGTCGCGGTGTTGGTCATCTCAAAGTTTTCGCCAGGTGATTGCTGTGCAGCCACTCCACCAGTCACATTTCCGACGCCCGGTGGTGAGTGATTAAGAAAATAATTAAGAATATTAAGCATTTGATTTAGCTAAATTGCTAAGCTCTCAGTGGACTGAATACTTCATTAATGTGGTAAATGAAACAGCACATTTTCAAGCACACTGTTAAAGTATTCCTAATGCTGAAGACAGTGCCCTCAGTGTGTGCGTCCCGTAAGAATCAGCGACAACACCCAGATCACCAAGAATTCGAGTTTGTTCTAGTTAGAATTGGCTCATTTTTGCTTTGAAAGCAGTGATTCTGGCAAGCACCATCGGTTATTGGTCTGCTGCGACTATTCGTAGCACCAATAATTTACCCAAACAGCCGGTCAGGCCTACAACATTAAACATCGGTATCCTACCATAAAGAAAGAAAGATTCTGTATACTCTGACTAATAAGCACTGCTTTCAACAATTCGTGCATTTGTGTAAGTCAAAAGCAGCGGCGGAATGCACCAGAATTACTGGTGGAAACATGCGTTTTTTTTACAGATTTTTCCGCACATATATTTGTCGCTAAGTAGCAACATTTTTCCGAACGGATAATTCCAGCTAAACTAATAGAAAGACGCATCGAATTCTATAATTTCTATTTTTTCAGTGTTAAGGTGACATACAAAAATTGTTAGAGCTGAATTACACAGTATGTGAGATAAGGGGGACTCAGAAGCTCTTTTCATATACGCATGCCCAAAAATCATTATGGACCATGTGCAGAAGCGATCTGTCTACTATAGTTACATAGATACAAAACTGTCAGCTTCGAGTCGCATGTGTCCGTACTCGAGACATAGAAGTAACAAGAAGACTACTTTCACTTGCATCTGCTTAAATACGTCGTGAGAGTTTCAAATTTCGCGATTTAGATACTAATTTAGAAACCAAGACGGGGCGAACAGAAATTTGTTTTCATTTTTAATAACCTTCTATCGGTTTTCGTAAATTTTAGCTTTCTACTCATTACAATTAATGAGTTGAATTAGCATAAACTTTCCCACCATTCCATTTGCGGAAATTGTGACATAACAATAACACCAAAAGCTTTTTAGAGAAAATTTAGATTCTCTTGCTGACCATGGTCAGGTGTATAAAAAACTAATAATCAAAAATGATGCTTGTTCCATAATTGCTTAATCAAAAACTTTTTGCTCTTTGTTCGTTTTTTATGCGTTTTTGCATATATGCAAATTGCAAAGCGTT